GAATTTTTTTTGATAGAATTCTATCTTAATATTCTTCAGCAATTTGATATACAGTCTTTTTCACCAAAAGATTATAAATAAAAGCTTTTTACTCCTGTTCATCCGACTGTGCTCATGGCGCAAATGATGATTAATAAATTGTTAAGTGCTATTTGGTAACAGATAACGATCTCTCTTCTGTTCGTCGTGCCTTAATATGTATTTTTCAGCATTTGTTTCTTCATGGTTCCTTTATTTGAGTGTAATGTGTGTTCCTATTGCTATCACTAACATTACATATCTTAGATCTTCGATTGTGAGTACTAATAAATTTCAGTTAAATGCGTTTTTTTTTTTTTTTTTTTTTTTAGTCCAAAGGGATTTGAATCCCGAAGGACTATTAGTTTCGTTTTGGCATTTTGCGTCGGACTCATAAATGTCGGTTCACTTTTCACTTTTCAAACTGTTGCCACAAAATGTTAGAGTCCTGCATTATATTTGAAGAAATTAAATAATGAAAAATCTGCATAAATGTATGTATATTTCTCGTATTGTGATAAAACAACGGTACATAGAGTCATCGAATTTTGAATAACGTAATCCTCCAACGAATATGAGCATCTGGAAGACCAAATTTGAAATTTGAAATTTGTTTTATGATCGATTTCTTATTTTTTAAAACTTTGACGAATTTTTGATTAACAAACTCAAGGATTTCTTAGCGAGCAATGGCAACGTTGTGCAGAAAAAACATTTTTATCTCCAGCGCGTGAGTCTCTGTATCGGAAATTCTAAAGATATGCTCGTTTTAAAACTATTTTGCGATATTGTTGTTGCACTGGATCTTATGGTTTAAGTGCGAGGAACATGATATTTAATAAAGAAAGGTAACACACAAAATGTTAAAAAACGCCCCTTTGGACGTAATTTAAAATCTGAAACATTTCTGTTTTTTTTTTTTTTTTTTTTTTTTTTTTTTTTTTTTTTTTTTTTTTTTTTTTTTAAGATTACGAAAAAGTTTGAAAGAAAGTTTCATACTACTTTAAATGCGTTTGTTCTATACCTCTAATTTTATTCACATGCGCAAACTTAATTCAGGTTTACTAAAGCTGAAGATGCAAGATATTTGTCATTTGTCAAGCATTAATTCAATATAATCCTTAATACTGTTACAAATTATGTGCATAGAAAGATTATTTTAGTGCAATTATATGTGAAATTGTTGTAGTTTTCTTTATGATGTAACATGAAAATCTACAGAAGTGAAGCTAGCCGGAAAGGTGCGGCAAGTCTATTTAACATTGAGCGAATGACTGTTTCGCTAATTTGGCGAGATATCGCCAAGCTGGCAACTGTTTGTCAAACTTGGTGACGTTTGGGTTCGGTTCCTATGTAATTGTGATGGATATTGTAAAGAATAACTTTAATACAGGCTCTATGCAACTGTTGCGTTCCGGTAATTTCGAGAAGCAGAAAGTGTTAGAAATGTCTCGGTGGCAAATAGAAAATTATATAAGACATAAGAGAACAGAGAGCATCTGTTCTCAGTTTTTCTTAGTTAAGCTTGAGTTCGGAGTACTGAGACATCTCCGGGTTCGCTTCACACTTTAGATACGGTTTGCATTGCTTTGTGTTTAACGTTTTCAGTGGTTTTTGAAGTTTAACTACTGACTCTACGCTGCGGCACTGTGAAGATCTGTACGACTGCTTTGGAGGGAAATCCCAGATCTGGAATTGCTTCCTTTCGTAAAATAAATTTCATGGAGCTATCATCGATTCTGTGAGCATTAAGTCTTTATAAACCTATAGATAAGCAACAATACATGTAAATAATTTGTCTCAATTATTTAGTATTTAGTATTAAGTACTAGATTGATTTCAAATGTCAGTTAACAGTTTTCTAGCCATAATCTCTTAAAAATGCCTACTTTGTTAACTATTTAGATTTTAACACTAGGCATAGAAACATCGCATTTTCCAATAAAATGCCAATTCAAAATTAATCATTTAAAAGTACGTGATATGAAATGAAAATAAACTAATACATAATTATTAGGTAAGCAGTTATTTAACACTAATAACACTAAAATTTAAAATGGTAACCTTCCTTGTATACGTCGCATGATATTAGGATAAATCTGTTCTTTTCTGTCAATGCTGATGTCCTGTGTATCTGTATCAATGTTCAGCGCATCTGTACACATTCAAATTTCAAAACAAAAGAAATCTAATGACAGAAAAAATAGTTTGATGTGTTTCATTTATAACATGTAGATACTTGTATTTTCTCAGTGAAAAAAATAATCCTCTGCAGCCACATTATAACTTCGCGGAACGGAGCTCAGAACAGAAAAATAACTCGTAATATTTTTCATATTAATGCTTTCATGAGTGTCGATCATTTGTTTGCTGTTGATTATTGAGCAGAAATATATTATCAAACGTACGTGAAATCTATTTAAGTCGCAGGAATATCAGGAACTACGCAATGTTTAATTGAACTGTAAGGGATTGTTTTAACCATAGAAACAATCACATTTTTATATCATCCATAATTATGAACAATTAGAGATGAATACAGATGAAGTGAATGCAAATACAAGCAACCTTAATGTAAACGAAACTTAATTTCTGACGCACTTTTATTAGTCCGTGGTAAATTTACGAAATCTTAATTTATATTTATAATGATGTAAAAAGAAAAGAAGAATTTCTAAATTTATAAACCTTAAGAAAATTCTATCTTTGTGCTATGCTACTAATTCTTGTGTCAGTACATATGCTGAACGTACAGAAATAAACGTTGTTCTTCAGAAATGAGCTCAATGAGCTATGAGCTATGTTTTTTAAGTCTTATGTGTTGGTAAATTGTGCATTTGTTGCTGTAAAAGTGTTTGAATTACGTTTGTCTTATGTTCTGATTAAGGTTTTATGTCTTTATTAATCTACATGTAATAGTTTTAGAATTATCAACAACTTAAAGCTTAAGTTTCGCTAGGCTTAACGAGCCGATTATTTGTTGACATTTGAAGCCCTTAGCCCCTTCGAGCCGGGTAGCGAAAACGCGCGCTTATCGCTGAGGCCGGCAGTGTCTTACGGGAGCGTCTCTCCAGGGCCGGAGGCTTTTTTGCTACTAAGCCTAAATCCATGAAATTTCCGAAGTATCAGCGCATTGTTTAATAATGCTCTATAGAGTATTTAAACGGCTTATGTTTTATAAATATTTTTATATATATACTTTAATTACCTTATTTCTTGTTAAATGCATATTTTACACATTTTATTTTAATTACACACCATTTTATGAATTTTAACATTATACATCTGAAAACTAAATATATTACTTAAAATTCTCTTTTCGTATGAAAAATTTGAAAACAGGGATCTACACACAGTCCTACGTTACATTCCTTGCACTCGTAATAACTCATTTGCCGTTTTGGAGGATTTTTCCGGGAATGTGAACAAACGAAGCATCGTCGTCTCATTTCCTTATCAGTCTCTTCTGAACAAAGTTTTGGAAAATGTCTTTCAGTTAATCTTTCAGAATCAATATCAGAATATCAGAATTTCAGAATCAATATCTGAAATATTTTGCATCATTTCTGCTATTTCATGCTCTGTTAAACATTTTCGACGCTTCGACATTGCAACGGTAAAAACAAAGAATTCACGTCTAACAAGATCTAATTATTTTCTGAAAACTGAACTGCAAACCGAAATACCCAACGCTTTAGAGCAAATAAAACTTCTCTGCTTACAGTAAACAACTACCACGTGCGAATAAAGTGCGATTTAAAGAGACGTCATAAATCACGCCATTCGGAACATTTATTTCCCCGTTTGTTTATATAATCAAAAACACGAGTATGTGAGTCATGCTTCTCTCATTTCGAGTAGAAGGTCTAATTTACATGTATCTGAAGCCATATGGACATACAGTGCCATCTTGTGGCAGAAATTATAGTTTGAAAAACGTTCCAAAGTACTGGCACAAATACGTGACAGTCGGTAGAGAATGGAACAATCGTCTGGCACGCCTGCGTGTCGGCCGGTAGGTAAGTGCGTTCGTTGCTGGCACGTATACGTGACAGTCGGCGCGAAGGGGTTAGTAGTATAATGAATTTAAGTCAGTTTCGTTTTGTCTAGTATGGCCAAAAGTTAACTTGCAATTTTTTTGCGCTTGAAATTTTGTCTTTCTGATGGTTAGGCGAAAATCCTGGTTTCCCATTGCAATATTGATTGTAAAAATTGTTTTTAACTGTATGTGATATTTTAGGTTTTTCCCGTATTTTACAATTTTGATGTAAATGTTCTGACATTTTAACGCATTTTTGCCGTCCCAGAAAGGTGAACACTGTATTGATTGAATGCTTTTTTTGATAAAATAAATATGAATTAATATATTTAATTCAATGCTTCTTTTAATAAAATAAGGATCTCTAATGGAATCTGTGGAATAGTGTTTAAATGAAGTGTAGAAAAAAGAGTGTATAATTTAGGCCGTACAAGGACGTCATGTGGTTACCACAACAAGATTTTTAAAAATGTAGCGCACTTAATGGCGAATTGGCGATACTTGTTTTTTGTAAGCTTTTTTAAAATCGAACAAAAAATAAATTATAATACTTTTTATAGTGTTAACAAAACTATTGGGATGTAACTGAAATATTTTATCGAACGCTAATGCCATCTAGTGGCGACGAGAGCAACTCATAGCAATCGACCGCCAGCTGCGATGAGAATAGGTTTTCCAATATTATGACTCCGTAACTTGAATGTTAATTCTAAAAGTTAAATGTTTCGTTTTGGGGAATATTTCCTTTGTAATTGTTTCTGTGCTTTGCTAATAAATACTTTTAGAGCTAGCCGAATTTAGTGTTAATAAAATAACGGTTAGAAAATTCCACCTAAAAATAGAAAATTTCTGTTAGTGAAATGGCGTCCAACGAAGTGTTGAGAATTTTTATTTTGGTTTACTCCAGTCTAAGTTTTAATTGCTTGGTTCAATCTCTTTTCAGGTGTGGACTGTTCGTCAAAATAATTATGGAAATCAAGTGTTAATGTAAAAATATTGCGTCGTGCTGCTAGCACATGTAATAGAAAGTGAACGCCTTACAAAGGAATAAAAAATGATTCTTTAAGTTATTGTTCAATGTGAGATTAAAATTCTTTTTTTAATTTATTATTTGTTTAAACTTCATCTTAAAGCAGACGTTCCTTACTGAAATCAGATTTATAGACATCATATAAAAGTATTAGACAAAAGCCAACATCTTTTTCAACAAGAAGCTTACTTTTAAACTCTGGTTAATTTGCTATTTTAAAATGTTTTAATGAGCATACTAAATTAAATTATGGATTCTATTAGCAAACTGAATGCATATTTTAATAATAAAGTGGTACTACTTTATTTTCACCGACTCTGTTATAAAAACAGCACTAAAATTGTCGCCGAATTTAAATTACTTGCATATAGTTTGCAGCTGCCGTCCAGGCGGTATAGTGATTCCGAGAACCGAATGCGGTAGCGAAAGACTTGGGTTTATATTTCAGAGAAGAAATGGCTGTACCGTCCGTCTCTTCACAAGAGGCAACGGTAGCCGCCTATTAGATGCCTTCATAAAAAATAGCCACCATTTCGGGTCTTAGTACTGGCCATTGCTGAAATAAGGCAAGTGGCTGCCATTATTCAAAAAGATGTTTGTGGCTGCCATCCACATGAATTCGGAAAGAACTACTCTGGATGACGTCGAGCTGTACACTTTTGCCTTCTGTATCACCATTTAACACAGCCCCGCAATCGTTCCTCATTTTGGGTCCGAAGACCCGTGATTGTATCAACAAAATTAATTGTGTGATTCAAATAGATGTAACCAGCCATTTCAAGATCATCTCTTTTATAGGTTCGCCAGGAATATGAATATATTGTCGACCCTTCCATCATGCAGACTACAATCGGTGATATCAGTTTGCTTGCTTGCCGATTTGCAAACCAAACAAGAAATAACTCGTCTTTTTCACGGCGCCTGCCGGAAATCCACTGTTCAGCCCCCCTGTCAGTATTGTGACAGCGCTGTTTTGCACCCCCGCGTCAGCAAACTCTTCTCAGTTTCGACTATTTTTTTCAGGGTCAGATAGTCATCCTTGAGTTCGTCGAAGAAAATCTGCAGAAAAAACCTCACTCAAAAAATTGTTCCAGTCATTTATGATATCCTGACAGATATTGAGTTGTTTATCTCACCATTTAAGCGACAGCAGTAGGACAGCAGTAGATGAGAAACGCAGAGTTGTTACGAATGGTATTCTGGAACCACGAAACCAGTTATCGCATCGAATGCTCTTTTTTTATTTACAACTTTTCAAGTTGCTCTCCGTGTAGTTTCGTTTCGCTGTCATTTGCACATATTCGATTGAAGGTAATAGGTCCTTCTCCTCGAAACACGATACTGCAACTTCCTCACTCATCGGTAAATTAAAACCTGGCAACCTTTTATTACCGCGTTCAAACTGAAAAAAAAAAGATATTTACGATATCACGCGTTGCGTTAAATTCCGCAAATACATGTCGAACGTGAAAGTACCGTTTTTACATAATTTGTGAATTTTTTACAGTGTTTCAATTGAAAGAAGACTGCAATGATATCACGGCATTCGTCAAATTCGTGAAAGTACTCTTTTTATTATTTTTGAGGTTTATAAGAGCGACGTGAAAATCAAGTAATACCGATAAAATTCTGAATCGTTTCACCGATATTGTTGATTAAAATTTATTATTTTCGATTCTCAGTAAGAGTAGGAGACAGTTGCCTCTGCCCCCGTGCCATTTTAGACAAGATGAATCATGATGTATTGCAGTCAATAAAAACATAAGAAGTTTAACTTCAATACGACAAATTTGACTATAATGCAACTAAAATATGATGACAAATACGACCGTTTAAATATTTAATTTCAAATTTGTAACTTTTGATGTTCTTTTTAACTTTCATTGAGGGATCCGTTAATTATTTTAAATAATTCAAGGAAATATGTTTGGATGAAGTGGCCAAAATATGTATGATACAATATGCTGAACGAAGAAGACATATGGTGCCCACATCAGATTTCTTTTTTATTTTTGATTTGCTCCCAATTCACTCTAATGGGCTGAAGTAAGCTGTAGATATACAGAGTGGTTATAACTGAAGTTCCACTTTGAAATTGCCATAAAAGGAAAACTACTGGACCAAATGTTATAAAACTTGCTAAATGTGTTAAGGAGGCCATGGAAACTTATTTCCGCGAAACCAAACAGTTCAAAAACTCACCACCCGCCGAAATGGAGCTGTATGCAATATTGCTGAACGAAATCAGGGTTGGAATGTAATTTAACCTTTTGTTACATGAATTTAGCACGTTGTATACCATTAGGAAACAATTGTTATATAACATTAGAAAACAACAAAATTACCATTTAAAGGCGTTAAAGACGATAAAAGTCGATTGCGCCATCTGCGTAACAGAGAAATCCTTCCGTGGAAACCACAAATAGAGACTGGAAAATGTGAGATCTCAAAGCATTCGCAAAAGTGTGCGCATTCCCGAAATCGTTTTCGTACAGATGGATAAATTGTGATTTCTGAAGCCTAAATTCGGCGCTAAAACATGCAGATATCGATTTAAAACGTTTCTAATCGTTTCTGAAACGAAACTTTTTGTGGGGGGTATTTGAAACCGCAGTGGCTTGTAATTGCCATACGGCAGGAAGAAGAAAAGGATTTATGCAAATAATATAACCAATTTTGTGGAATTGAAAGATGCGATACACCGACATGTCCGTAACATTCCTCATGTTATGCTAATAGCTGCTGTTGAGAATGCAGTAGGACGATTTAACGTGCTTTCGGAAAATGGTGGACGCCCTATTGAACATGCTTTGTAGCACATTTCAGAAATGATTAAACACGTTTTAAACCGATGTCTTCATGTCTTATTTTGTTTACCAATATTGCATACAGCGCCATTTACCATCTGGTGGCGAGTTTTTGAATTTTTTTCACGGAAAATAAATTCTCATGATCTCCTTTATACGATTACCAAGTCTGATAACATTTGATCCAGTAATTTCCCTTTTATGTCCATGCAAAGTGGAACTTTAATTATAACTATCCTGTATTAAGGCTTTAGACATTGTCTATGTGAGTAACGATTTCAACTCAAAATAAGGTTTCACGATTTATAAAATCATCTTATCTTTTTAAAATCAACGTTCCATATATAATTCTACAAAGGAAACAAACTATTTAATTTCATAATATATTACAATAAACATACTGATCATGTTGGTTCATCACGTAATAAGCGAATAAATAAAAGAGAAAAATATGAAAGAAAATTAAATATGCTTAGCAATATTATAGTATACAAAACAGTTAACTGGGAAAGTTTTAACGAATCTGACAAGATGTTTCAGAAAAAACAAATATCCTCTTCAGATTTTACTCTTTCAAAATATGGAAAACATGATTGTATTTGCAAAAGGATGTAAACAAAGCATAATATCCGAAAGGAAAGAACAAAGAATGTGCGGGATGCGGGAATGGAAACTAAATTTTGTGTATCACCGTTCCCCACTCCCCCATTTGCGCAGGATATCAAAAGCGATATGATATTTTAAGCAAACAATGTGACATTTCCCAAACTTCAGAGTGGAATCAATTCCATGATTTCAATTTTCTGTTCAGCCTACAATTAGAAGATCTAGTTATACATAAGAATTTCTCAAGCAATAGTTCAAGCCCTGTATTAATTATTTCTTTAGCAAGAATTTCAAACCCAAAAATGTAGGAACAATGATCATCTACTCCAAAAGCTGGCATTTTTTTCAAGAGTTTGTTCTGGGCTTTCCCATGTAAAATCCACAGTCGTTATCAGCCCCTTATGCTAAAACTTTTTTGCACCCAAATTTTGCCAACAATGAGCTCAAAATTTTATACCTGATAGTAAATTATTCTTACTCTCTCTTGCTTTAAAAATATAGAGTTAGAAGACATTTCGCTTGCATTTATTTGCTAAGGTATGTTCACAGCGTGTTACACATTTTTAGAACGATATTGATAAAGAATTAACAAAAAAGGAAATGTTTTGAAAATCAATTCTGGCAACAGCTTATTATTTGAAATGAGAATCGTGGTCTGTTACTTTTAAATTTATTCTTTTTTTTTTTTTTTTTTAACATGTTGCATTTCAATACTTTCCTTACTTACTTTTCCGCTGACGCAGAAATTAATTTCAAAGTCTTTAAAGACCTCTGAACCAACAATAAATCAAATAATAAGCCAAGATTTACAATTTTAGAAAGCTAAAAGTACATAATAGTAAGCAGCGTTTAATGGTGCATGTGGCTTAATGAAGACTCATTTGTAAAACCCTGTATTTAAATCATTTAGTGGGGGTTTAATCGGAATACATTGTTACACTTGATGTAGCATGGGTTTACTTAAATGGCTGCAACCAAACAAAAGTGTATTTATTACCGAAAGCTAAGGAAAAAAAATTGTGATCAAACCTGCTTTCTTTAATTCAAAGAAAGTTTCAGTAAAGGGATTATGATTGTCGCAGAATGCACTTACAATTGGAAATTAAAAATAAGCAGAAAAAAAAATACATGAACCGAACAGGGTATCAAGAGAAATTTCTATGTCCAATATTTGCAGAAGAAATTCCATTTTTTTATTCCAATGACTTGCAAACAGTGAAAGTTCATCAAGATAAAGCAATTCATATTCGAAACCTCCTTGAAAAACTGAAGACTGATACCGGTATTGCATATATAACTTCTCAACATATGCTTTTTAAGTGACATGACGTTTCACCTTTGGCCGGTGGTCTCTTGAGCTCTTCATAACGCAACCCCCCACAACAATTGATGGGCTCTGAAAAATAGTAAAAGAGGAATAGAAATAAATACCCCTGAAAACTTAAGAAAAGCTCTTTCTGTCATGGAAATCACGATATAGAAGCATAGTCCAGAATAAAGGCTATCAAACTGAACGTTAAAATAACACTCTTTAGATTTTAGACATTAATTTTATTTAACAAATGCCAAACATTAGCGCTTAAGCCATTAGTTCACGGACTCTCCAGTACT